ATATTGTAAAAGTTAACTATAACCGAATAAAAGGAGCCGGCCAAGAGGCCACCTTAATACCAAAAAAAAAAAAAAAATAGTATTAAGAGCTATTTGAAGTTTATTATCTATATCTTTTTCTATTTTATTATTATTTTCTTCTTCATCTAAATTATTATCATCATCTTCATTTGTATCTTCATTATCTAAAATATTTTTTTCATCTTCAATTTTTTCTAATCCTTTTTTAAATGCTTTAATTTGTTTAACAATCCCTTTTTTATAATATTCTAAACAATATTTACAACCTTTATAAAAATTATAATATTTATAATGATAAGAATATCCACAAATATATATTTGGCCTGTTGAATATCTAATTGGAATTGTACAATGATCACAAGCATCTGTTGATAGTAAATAAGCTGTATGATAACCAGTTAGCAAACAATTAAAATCAAGAATTTCATCTAATATTGTCATAGAAAATCTAATATTATCTTTAGTTTTAATTATTTTGCTTTTTCCTATATTTTGAAAAATATTTTGAAAATGTTCTAATAAAAATAAACTACTTTTTTTAGTTAAATAATCTAATTGATTTGGTTTATATGGATATGTTTTTTAATATGAAAAGTATCAAATAATTAATTATTATGTATATCTAATAAATATGATTATTAATAATATTATTTGCAGTATAATTAATATTAATATTTGCTCGTAATCTACTATGAAAATTTTCAACAAAATAATCATTAAAATTAACTAAAGATTGTAATATAATATTTGCTAAAGGATGATTAATTTGTTGTCAATAAAGATAATCTGATATAAAAACTAATAGTGCTTTGTTATAATTTTTTCTTTTCCATTGTAATGCAAATGTTCATAATCTAAATAAGGTATCAGAATATTGATTAAAAAATCTAGATCTAAAAAGAATTGCATATATATCCAAAGTTGCAAATACTAAATTATCTAAAAGATCTATCATCATTCTATATTCAACAAAAGATTATTTAGATGCATTAAAAATAATTACTTCAATTGAATCATTACAGCAATATCTTCAAAATAATATTATACCAATAATTGCAGATTGGCCAGGACAATATTTATTCAAAAGATTTTAACATATTATTATAAAAAAATTGATACACCAGATTTTAATTCTTTAATAGTTTCTGAAAATATTAGTAATTTTATACCAATTATTGGTCCCCTTCATATTTTATTAAATTTTCATGAACAAGTAATTCTTGTTCATTATTCAATTTTTAAAAAATTTTTTCTTTATATATTTAAAGCTAAAAAATTTGCAAAAAAAACCAAAACCTTAGAGAATTAATTTATTATTAGAATTAATTCATAAGAGATAGAAAAAATATCACAAAAAATTTTATCAAAATTTGGAGATAATTGTAATAATATAGAATATAGAATAATAATAGATTTTTTAAATAATTTAGTATCTGCAACTTTGGATATATATGAAATT